GAAGTTACCATCCAAATTAAGAATGAAAAGGTTGACCTGGTCCTATCTATGAAGAAAATGAGTGGGATGTACAATCTAGGAAAAGCAATTACAATAAAGAGTGTTTACTCTATCTTAAAGAATAAACCAATTTTTAAAAATCATTTTAGAGTGATTGATTTCTAGGGAAAGGGCCTAACAAACATCATCCCTTTGGGAGCAGAGTAGTAGATGGAAACATTGTAGACCTTGTTTTTAGGCAAAAGTGATTTGTAACCTCAGTTTGCTACATACTAGCTTTGTCAAATTGGATAGGCAACTTGAATATTTTCAGTCTGTAGATGACTTCTCAAAGAGCCCACAATCATCTCTGCCTCCCGGTATTTGTGGCTTGTGTATTGTCCCCACCTGAAGCATGGGTTGGATCCAGTTATCTGCTTTCAAAGAATACAGTATAATAAAAATGACCGGATTCAATTCCTAAAGTAGGTTTTAAAAGAAAGATTTTAGTCTATCTTACTTTGATAGAACTAATGGGCATGTTATAAGCTGCCCTACAGAAGTTTATGTATCAAGGAGGTTCCAACAGCCTAAGAGAAACCTGACAACAGCACTGTAGCTTCTGAGAGACTCTGAAGCAAAGATTCCTTCCCTGTGGAAACTGTAAGGGGTAATTTGTTTTTAAAAAGGTATCTAACAGAACCTTAGTTTCCTCACCTTCAAAATAAGGTTGAAGGCCCACATCATGATTATCCTCATTAAGTGAATCAACACTAGATACCCAATATACAAGTCAAAAGAAAAAGGTTAGCACTAACTCAAGTCCACTCAGGACCTCTATGCCATGTAATGTTACAACATTTTTGGTATTAATAATTTTAAAGAATGCTATAATACTTTATATAGTGGTTTTATATCATTAGATTACTTGACAACACAGGACTGTGGGTAAAGCAATACAATATTTTTCTTGAAAGAGACGAAGAAATTAAAGGGTCTGACTACTTCAGTGATTTCTTCAAGGTTTCACAATTAGAAAAGTATCAGAGCTAAAATTCAAATCTGGACCCCTTTCCCACCATTATCACACTGAAGTTCAAGTATTAAGATATCAGATACTGTTTTAGGTCCTGAGATTACAGAGGTTATGTGCATAACTCAAGAACCTTACGCTCCTGAAACTTCCATTCATTCTCTTTTATATGACATAAAATTGGAAAAAAGAATTTAAACTTTTCATTAACTATTTCCTGTTTAGTCTGGATTTATGGTATTAGGTATTTTATAACTTTGAAATACAACATTCACTTTATTAGTAACTTCCCCTGGATTCCTTAGTTCATTTCACTAAAAGGAGGTAAAAAAAGTAGAGCCCACTTTTTTTCTATAAAATCTTGAAATGATATGGTTTGAGGAGAGTTTAAAAACTACACTAAAAGAAACTTCCAACAGTGAGTTAAATAACCTTTCCTTATTTATTTAATTATTCTTGTTGAGACAGGGTCTCACCACGCAGTTCAGGCTGGCCTTGAGCTCATTTTGTAATCAGGCTGGCCTTGAATTGGTAAGGATCTTCCTGCCTCAGCCTATAGAGTGCTGAGATTACAAGTGTGCACCACCACACCAGGTCTTTCCTCCTTTAAAAACAAAGCAAAAAAACTAACAATAAAATTCCCAAGAATGTTTCCTTTTATTCTTTTACCCACTAAATATTTTGAAATTTCTTTCCTAAAGGGATGGGGGAGATGAGGGAAGAGCTTTAACAATGATACAGGAATGACCCATGGTGGGGGCCAGGGATTTATCTCAGTGGCTCAAGCACTTGCCTTGTAAGTGTGAGGTCGTGAGTTGGATTCCCAATAACACATGGGGATATAGGTGAAAAGAAATCTAAACTATCGACCCTACTCCTTGAAGCTCTTTTAATATATACGTTTTCCAAAGTGGAGCTCCTAAAGTACAAGATCAACTCAAGTCTTTGAAGGTCCCAGGAAACTCAATTTTGCATTTTAAAAAAGATAACCTGCATTGCACAGGAACTATCACAAAGAATGAACAAATGGGATCTTATCTTATTAAAGAAACCACCAACAGAACGAAGAGACAACCCACAGTATGGAAAAAATTTTTTTTGCCTATTGCTCCTCAAAGGACTACTATTTAGAATATGTAAAGAACTCAAAGCAGGCGGTTTAGGTCAGTGGCATAAGCTCCTGCTTGGCAAGCATGAGGTCATGAGTTGGAGCCCTGGTACCAAAAAAATGAAAACAAAACAAATAATCAAACAAACAAAAGAACTCCAAACAATTAGATGCCACAATCCAAAAACAGACATCTGAAATAATCAATACTTCTCAGATTAGGTAGTAGAAAAAGTAAATAAATATATGAAAAAGTGTTCAATATTATTAGCCATTTGAGAAATTCAAATAAAAACAATGCTGAGATTCCATCTCACCCCAGAAAAATGGCTATTATTGAGAAATCAACCAATTACAAATGCTGGCCAGGTTGTGGGGGATAAAGAAACCCTTTTCCACTGTTGGTGGGAGTGTAGACTAGTGCAATCACTGTGGAGCATCCTCAGAAGACCAGGACTGGAGGTTCCATTTGACCTACTTATATCTCTTCTTAGTATCATCCTGAAAGAATTAAAATTATCATTCTACCACAGTGATACATGTACACCTGTGTTTATAGCAGCATAGTTTGTAATTGTTAAATCTTGGAAACAGCCCAAATGCCCATCAACTGATGAATGGATAAAGAAATGTGGTTTTTTTTTAATACAATGGAGTACTACTCTGATGTAAAGATAAGCTTGAGATATTTCTAGCTAAATGGATGCACCCTGAGGCCATACTCTGACATGAAATAAATCAGAAACACAAGTGTAAATGCTGCACTGTTTCTTTGGAGTAAGAACCTGAAAGTGTAAATGAGGACCAAAATGTGTAATAGATACTATGAAAAAGGAAGAAAAAATTCAAATGGGAAGGGCAACTAGGGAGGTAGGAGGAGGAAAGGAAAAGAAAGAATGAGAAAAAAAGGAAAAAATAAAAACAAAGCTTTTGTAAATAAGGAAGGGAAGAAGGGTTGAAGGGAGAGTAGGAGAAGGAGGACAAAGAATTAAGTTATATCATGTGCAGATACAAATTCCTTATAATGAATGTGATCATTATGTATATCTAAAATGTACCACCACTATATTTAATTTAAAAAAAGATAATTTACTATGTGGATGAACAGTATACCTGTACTAAGAGATCCCTTAGGGAAGTTATTTACAAATAACTTTGATAGAAAGCAATATTTTTTTTGAGACAGGTTTATTTTTTAAAAGTTCTATATTTTATGAGGGCCTTAAAGCAAATTAAAGGAAATAACAAACAGATGTTTTAAATATTTAATTTCAGTTATGTATGTAAAAAATTATATATGTGATCCATGACTAGCCCAGACTAATTTGTAACATTAGATAACTTTATTGTTATCAAGTTGTCCTACTAAGAGAAGTAAATTGGTATTTAATGATAGCTAACATCAATACATGTACTGACTTAGCTTTTGGTCTATTAGACTATTACCAGTGGTAGAGTCTCAAATGACTGCACTATAATAGATTTCTGAATAATCAGGGATCAAACTTAGTTCAGGATGACACTCATCATTGCAGCTAAGTTTACTAACAAATTCTAGTTTTATATTGCTTTCCTATTAGCGGCCACTATATTGATTTTGTCTGATAACAGCAAACTCAACTTAGCTGTCTTAATAATAAATGGCATTTATGAGCTTAGGTAACAACAAAAAGGTAAAGGCAAGGCAGTTATCAAGTGTGGTTCAATTAGGCCCTGGTTTAATTTTCAAGTTATTTTGGCTTTGCCCTTCTGTGTATTAGCTTTCTGCACAAATGGGTAGCTAGGGAACTGTTAGGATTCCAGTTTCCACACAAGGGACCTTTATATCTTTCTTGAAGAATGAGGAAACAACTGTTTTGAAGGTCCTCTAAATACTGTCCTTGCTTTTCATGAGCCTGTATTGTGTCATGTGCTAATACCAGACAACTGTGACTTAGAGGTCAGCCTGGGCAACACAGTGAGTTCAAGGGCAGCCTGAACTTCAAATAGTGAGATGCTGTCTCGAAACAAATAAAACTAAACGCCATTTTATCTGGTCAGAATTTTAGAGTTCATTCTAGTTTAATCCTTTTTATTTAATAAATGAAGAAACTAAGGCCTAGAAGAGGAATATTAATTCCTCTTGTGCTAATTATCACATTGTGCTAATTAACAAGTTATATTAACTTTAAACTTGGAACTAGACTTACCTATCTATCATCCATCAGGTTCTAGACCTACCTTTAAGTGCTACATCCCATTTTCACTAGCTATGTAACTGTAAGATAGCTTTGGTAGGTTGTAGGAAAGGAGAACAGTTGGCATCAAGTTGGAGACGGTCAGTATTAAAGAGGTCTAGTAATAGATAACAGGGTCCCAGCCAATTCAATTGCAGGATTTAAATGCAGGAATCTGGATTTCCAGAGGAGGTTAGGAGGAAAGGACTGAAAACTGTGAGATTTTGTATCTCAAGAGGTTGACACCCTGGATAGAACCTAGACCCAAAACCAATAATCAAAGAAGTCTAATTATCAGACTTTGGATACAAATATTATGGCATTGTACATCTCAAACTACTTTATTTTTTACTTTTTTTTGACATAGGGTCTTGCTTTGTAGTTCAAGATGTCTTAAATTTGTGGTGTTCCTCCTGCCTCAGTCTCCCAAATGGTGGGATTATAGGCATGTACAACAGGCAATGTTTGGTTTTTAGAGACAGGATCCTTCAGGTAGTTGAGGTTGGCTCACTATACAGCCCAGGCTGACCTTAACTCATAGTGATCCTCCTGCCTCAGCCTCCCAAGAGTGCTGGGATTATAGGCATGGTTCACCATACCCAGCTCAAAGTAGGTCATGTTAAATTGTGGGATTAGTAGACAAAAGTGCTTCATGTATGTGAAATTATGATGCATCTTTTTAGATAATTTTATTTGACAATATTTAACCTATACTCTTATAAGAATACAGTACTACTTTCAGTAGATGGCTAATGCTGGGTGAATTTTGGGGGAATGGGAGGATTTGAGATACAGTCCTGCCATGTAGTTCAGGCTGGGCTTAACTCACTATGCATAGCCCAGGCTGGCCTCGAACTCGAAGCAATCTTCCTGTCTCATCCTCCTGAGTGCTGGTATTCCAGAAGTGCACCATCAAGCCCAGACTGTTGGGTGAATTTAGAAAACAAAGGATTTAGATAATAATTTCAAATCAAATCTCAGAAAAATTTTAAGGCAACAATTGACTAAATCCTGCAACTTACTATACATGATCTCACATAATCCTATAGGACTGCTATAAAGATTACTGATAACATGTAAAACATCTACGAGGCATAGAATACAAACAGATGCTTAATAAGTAACAAAGGGACTAACACATGAATTTAAACTGCTTAATTTCACAACCTCACATGAAGGTAGGTCTGACAGCCCGAAAGCCTTCAAAGAATAAAAATTTGTGTGATGTGTACAATCAAGATCAACTAAGACATGGCTGGGCATGACTGAGAACATGCTGTATTTCCGATTCTCCTTTGTTAGTCTTGTGTACACTAGCAGTTAATTTTCGTAATAATCTTTTACAAGAGATACAGTTGTACTTGTATAGCTAGCTAAGCAGTGGAATGAATGGGCACTTGAACCTAGTCATTTTACCACATTCTGCCTTAATGAGATATTCTACTCCCCAAAACAGGACACAGATTTTGATAAGTGAGATTAAATAAATAAAGGTTATCTACAGTAGGCCTTGACTTTTAGAGAGCAACACAAAATATTTTAATACTAAATTGATGACTAGTGTTTTATAATATGACATAGGAAAATGTCCAGGACAGAAATGTTGAGTCAGAAATCTTTTACAGTATTTCAAGAATAAATGGTAGGAGTTTCAGTGTAATCATCTTCAAGTGCTGTACAGAAAGACATTATTAACTTAAATTACCATATATGAAAACTGCAATAATCTGTATAGGATGTAGAAAGAAAATATTTGAAAACATTTTTCATATTTCCCCTTTTTCAATAGTTCTGCTTTCATCCCAGAACTATGACATTCCTCAATGACTTCTGCATAATGGCCACAATGAATTCTATCTGGGATAACTCAGCCAACAAAAACAAAAAGTTATGGGTTCACATGGTGCCATGCCATCACGGTATGTCTATTCCATTTTTTATTGGTTTATCTACAACCATCACTCTTTTGACCGAGCACTGACTTTTGTATAGCCTTTTGCTAGATAGTGAAGACACAGATCTGGATAAGAACTTATAAAAGCTCAGTCCAAAAACAAGTGAAAATTAGAAGACCACCAAGATTCAGAGTTGCAACAGACACCCCCCCAAAATAAACAGAACAATGTAAAATAGGATCAAGATAGAATACAGAATGAAAACATCTGGCAATAAACCAAGTCAAAGTATTGCAAAACAAATAGGAATCTGTCAGAAAGAGATGGGAATGAAATAGTTTTTTGAGACCTGGGAGCATGAAACACTGTGATATATTTAGGAAATGGCAAGAAGTTCTATGGAATTGGAAGGCTGCAGGGCAAGAAAGGATAGAAAAATGGATAAGGATTAGATCCTGAAGAGATACATTATGCTAAGATGTGAATTTTATTTTGTGGATCATCATTTCCCAGTTATGACTATGAAACCCTATGAAAATTATAATGTAAAGAAATGCCGAAAACACTGAAATTTTTTGATTCTTTAGCTTTCTTAGAAAATCTAAACATAAAAAATTTGAATAATTTTATTTAAAACCCCAAGTACTAATTAATGAAGTAAATCATTTTTTATTTTCACTTACATTTGGTTATCAAGAGACATGCAAAACTCTTCAGTTTTAATGTGAACAGTGTTTTTGTGTCTTTTTGTCACATATCCGTTTAATATTAGGTGCAATGTTACTAAGTCGGATCCGCATATGAGGTGCAGCATCAAGTCTTTTTCTGTATTTTGTTTTAGTTGCAGCATAATATGAAAATCCTGTTTCACACAAGTGCATTGTAGCAAAAGGAAGAAGCACACGAACTGCACGCTTTGCAATACTTGGGTATTCTTGAGTTAGACTACTCCAAAAATCATTGAGTGAAAGTTCACTGAAATTTTGTTTCACTTGCGAATCAGATGTTAAATCAATCAGGCTCTCATAATCCCATGCTGCTAATGAGGCTGGTTTAACGGTCACTGTAAATGGATTTCTAACCCAAGCATTACCGTCATTCGTTACAGAAAAGTATTTTAGAAGGGTAGAGCGCAAACCCCTTAGGTGCTGCACAATGGCACCACAGATCTCTTTATCAACTGTAGAATTAATTTCAGTCAAAAAGTCACTGAGTGTAGGAAAACAATCAAAGTTTTCTTCTTCTACAGATGAGGCCCAAAATTCCAATTTTCTTAACAATGATGACATTTTATCAAACACTGTAAAAACTGTTACATTTTTCCCTTGCATTGACAGATTAACTTCATTTAATTTAGTAAAAATGTCTGCAAGGTATGCAAGTCTTAACAGCCAAGAAGAATTTGTTAAACAATCAGACAGTCGAAAAGCAGAATCCATAAAAACCAGTAATTCTCGCCGAAGTTCAAAAAGTCTTACAAGAACTTTACCTCGGGTAAGCCACCTTACCTCTGTATTTAGAAGAAGTGCTGTGTGCTGGGCACCCATTTCTTCACATAAAATTTTTAGTAGTCTGGATTGATGTGGTCGAGCCTTAACATAATTGATGATTTGTACCGCTTGATCTAGCACATTTTTAAGGGATGTAGGCATTATTTTAACTGCTAGTGCATGTCGATATAATAGGCAGTGACTGCTGGTGCTTTCGGGAGCCACATATTTTATCAAGGTGACAGCCTCAGCAATTTTCCCATCTGTTACCCTAGAAGCATCACTACAAACATCAACACATTTTTCCCACTCAATTTCATGTTTCTGCATAAAACTGTTGATGCAATTGAATATTTCTTCACCTGTAGCATTACTCTGCAAAGATTCACATAAGAGTAGGTCTTCCTCAATAGATTTATTAAACCTATAACGAATAAATACAAGCAGGACAGCAAGTCCTGAAACATCAGCTGATTCATCTAGTTGTAGTGAAAAACCATCACAAATTTTCAGTCTACAAACAAGCTCTTCTTCGATGTCAGCAGCTAGATCCTTAATTCGACGTGCAACAGTACTATTTGAAAGCTGTACTGCATCTATCTTTTTACTATATTGTTCATCAAACATCCGCATCACTACATCTTTTGCACAAGGTTTGATAAGCAATTCTCCAATCGTATGAGCCTCCCCACTCAGGGCTATATGGTAACTTACATTGTATGATGCCTCTGTAGCACTTTCATTATCTGAATTGACAATTTTAGGTGTTGGGGGTTTATTATTTTCAGGTGAATCAAGATGCTGCTTAAAAAAGCTTATGTCTTTGTCTTTATATGCAGCATGTTTAGTTTCTAAATGTCTTCGAAGCTTACTTGGGGCTAAGGAGCTATTTGATAAGATTTTCTTACATAATACACATTGAGCATGTGGTGCATCTCTGTTTCCAAAATAAGTAAATCCAAAAGACAAATAACTTTCATCGTATTTTCTTCTTTTTGGTTTCTTACTAAATGTTGCCATTTTATTAGAACCAGACATAAATTTGACTCTGGAAAGCTCACCTTCTGGTTTTTTAGAAACTGATGGCTCCAACCGTTCATCTTCACTTTGTAATATTCCAACTTTTTGATCGTTTGATTCAGATACAATTTGGTAACAAAAAGATTCTACTTCTTGTTTAAGATTTCCTTGCTTCAGTAAAAGATCCACGGGCAAAGAGTTTGTGTTACAAAACATGGTTAATTTATAATAATAATTATTACAAATATGTTGAAATTATAAAACAGGTTACAAAAAAGATGAGAGATGATATATAATACATCAGTTAATCTGTAAATGCTGCCTATGGATCAAAGCGCAGATGGAATATCACGTGTTCGTTTATCAGGTGATCTCTCATGTGACTTGCTGGTGCTCTCAGGTATGGCACACCTTTCTTAAAGGCAGATTATCACATAAAAATAAAAGCTATAGAAATGAGTTTAGTAGTCTTAAACTTACATTTAAATAAACATAGTAATAAAAGTACTATTATTGGCATCAAATTTTTTCTCAAAACACTCATTCACTTAGAGAATTAACATTTTATAAAAAAAGGCTGGGAACTATAGGCTAAGAAAATAGCAGAGAGTTGCTAAACATATTTTTAGGTTAAGAATGCATTTAGGAATATATCCCATGGCAAGGGCTAGCAAACATTTTGCAAAGGGCTGTACAATCTCTGTTGCCCTACTGAAATCTGTAGCTGTAGCAATATGGCAGCCATAAATGAAGGGTAAAAGAATGGCTGTGGTTGTGTTCCAATAAAACTACATACACAAACTGTACAGGTCATAACTTACCAATCTCATCTCATGTAATGAGATAGAAACTTGGAAATTCTTAGGTTTTTGATGCCTACTTCCATTAGATGTAGTAAGTATTGATACTATTATATGTCTTAAGTTTCCCTTCACAGGTGGTAACAATTCTAATGAACTACATTAAAAAGACACAAAAGCTGGAAATGTAGCTCAGCAGTGGCACAGCAACTGCCTGGTAAATGCCTGAGTTTGATTTATGTAACAAAAAATATCCCCCTCCCCCCCAACACACAAAGTTCAAAGTGTTGCAAGACAGAATTCTACTGCATCCTACATATTATATGTTGATAATGAAGATTAAATTACAAACCAAAAGTTAGATACTATTTCTCTGGGACTTAAAATGTTCATATTATTACATTATTTTAATTAAGACTTATTCAAAGTAATGTATATTTTTACTAATTACTTTGCATTCCATTATACTATATGAAGACTTAACTAGACCTTAAGCAAATATATATTTGGTATTTTAAAAGCTTTCTCCTTGATATAATAAAAAGATAATAAAAACAGTAATACAAGCTCACATATCTATAGTGAATACTATTTTTTATAAATTAAGTTTTTAAAGTTAGATATGAATTATCTAAACAACTATAGCTACATGTGACTCAAGCTTTTTAATCTGGCTACAAAGTAAAATTGATATTCTCATGTTAGATTCTGAATCAAAATGGTTCTCTTAACAGGTAAGACAGGTAAGATACCTGAAATGAGGAGTACTCCCTTCTGCAATCACTCTCCACTTTGGCAGCTTGAAAGGTAGACTCTTCAAAAGAATAAAATTAAGGTATGGGGTAAGAAGGGGAGTAACCAGAAGCCTAGAATGAGAAAAACTGAAATTAGACACTGCAACAAATAGGACTAACTACAAGCCTCTAGGACAACCAACCGAGCATCACTATTTTAAATCTAGGTAGTGTGAGTCTTGCAACACAGCTCTTGGACTGAAACAAGATGCACAGCTTCTACTAAAGCAAAAATGCTTTTATTTTACATTGTTTTCATAGTTGATGATTTCATTGCTTTGAAATACTTACTTTTGCACTAACTTCATAGAAATGTACAAAAATTTCAGAAACTAAACCTAAATTTTAAAAGTATAGTCCCATCTTAATGTCTCCAAAAGCAGCCCTGAACTAAAATGGAATTATGTATAGAAGTGGTATACGAAATATATATTTGGCTATAACCAGTTTTGTCTCTTCAATAACCAATTTCTCCGTTTCTTTGTCATTTTGAGACAGAGTATATACAGTCCAGGCTGGCCTCAGGTTCACTTTGTAATCCAGGCTGGCCTCGAACTCCCAACGATCCTTTTGCTTCAGCCTCCCAAGTGCTAGGATTACAGGCATGAGCCACCATGCCTGGCTAATAACCAATTTCTTAAAGCAACTAATGTTTATTGAGTAATTATTGTTTACCATGTGCCTGTAACTGTGCTCAATTCCACAGATAGATTAGTTTACATAAACAAGAGCTTGGGATATTAATAATTCCACTTCAGGGACACATACAGAGATTAAGTCACTTCCTAAATTAACATTATTTTTTAACAAACAAATATACTGCCCAAAGTTTGAGTGCACAGTCCATGTGCCTAGTCATTATTTGTATGTTTCTGAACATTTTATTCCCCAAGCATTAACAAACAAACAAACAAACAAACAAAACTGGTACCAGGAGTTGGGCCGCGCAGAGAAACATTAACAATGGGTTACAACTGCCAGAAAGTCAACGGTCTCAAACTAACAGAAAAATCTTTCTTATAAGGAGCAAAAGCTCATTTTGCTGCATGGTCTCAACTTGGGTTTAGCAAGATAACTTTGTGGAGACATTGGTTCACCTAAAGGTTTCGGATTCTCCTCCCTTGCTGTCAGAGAACAGAAAAATAGATGCTTTGTTTTCTCATGAAGGGTCTCATCTTCAAAAGTGTTATCCCAATCTTTTGGAGACAAATAATCTGCATTCCCTGGAGTGAACTTTCCATTCTACTCCCCAAGAGGAAAAAATACTCATCCTCCCGTTAAACTGACAGGTACCCCGATCCTTCCAACTTCACCCCTACAAGGTTCCAGGTGTGAACAGTGCGCTCTTGGGGGGCAGGAAGGACAGGGTCGGAGAGCAGCCAATTATCATGGGCAGCGGGGAGGTGGGCGCGGACAGCCTGTACACACCTACAGGGCCACTTAGACCTGCGGCCCGGCCCGGCCACCCCTCGGCTCCTCCCTCTCGCAGGTGCGCGCGGCCCGCAGACCGCCACCTCTGGGCTGGCTTCCGGCCACAGCCCACTTTCGCTTCAGGGCTCCCGGCGGTCCGCTAAGGACCAGAGGAAACCGACTCAGCACCCAACACCTTCTTTCTACATTCTCTCCATCAGCGACGGAGAAAGCGGTCTCGGCCGCGGCTGGGCTGCCCAGCAGCGCCGCGGTCCCCAGTGGAGCCCGTGACCGCCATTTTAGACAGCTGGAGGTAGCGGCCATTTCGGAGAGCACCGCTTAGCCGCGGTGGCGACTCTGCTCCTCACCTTCACCGAGGCCTGAGCAGGGTGAAGAGCCAGTCGTCGCAGACTGGAAGGAGGAAAATGGGAGAGGGCTTGAAAAACAAAACAGAAGAAAGAAAGATGCGGGGACACGGTGATGCTCTCGACTCTGGGACATCACCCTTGCCACCTCCATAGAGATCCGATTCGCTGCTGGCGAGATCCGGGTCCAAAGATAAATTTAGCAGTATGGAGCAACCAAACCCCAGTCTCCAGGAGCGATTTGCCGCCCCCCAATCAGCACCCGCGCTGCCTTCCTCCACCAATCAGAGCTAGGCAGTGGGGCGGGACCAAGGAAAAGAACCTTGTTCGGTTGAGACGTCGCCGCAAAGGCCCGCGCGGGATTCCTAATAGCGGTTCCGCTGGTAGTGAAAAGATTCTTAAACTCTAGACCACGGCCGCCTGGGAGCTGGTTTACAATACAAGTTCTTACGTGCTGCTAGATACACTTGGTGACCCAATGAGACCCGAGTGGAGTCCGGGAGTCTGCGTTTCTGTCAGCTATAGTGTTCTGCGGAGCTTGGGTGCTTTGGCTCTGGAGCCTTCGCGACCGCTTTGTTCCTGGGGTCACGTCCCAAGCCCAGGTCGCGCAGCCACCGCCTCTGTTCCTTGATGTACCGTCGAACGACTCTGCCCCACACACGTCGGTGGCTCCCTGATGGGCTTGGGAGTCGCGAGCGAGACCCGGAGGGAAAGTGGAAAGTCCGGCCAGCTCTGCTGGGGAGTTGACATTTCTTTCGCTGGTTGCAGCATTCGGGAATTCTAAGCTATTGTCGCCTCCCCTCTCCTGTTTTCTTTTGTCTTATCTTTTTTCTTATTAATTTATTTAGGTTTTTTGAAACAGGGTCTCGATATTTATTTCAGCCCATGAACTCACTGTAGCACAGGTTGGCCTCGAACTCGCAGCAGTCCTCCTGCATCGGCCTCCTGCGTGCTTGTATTCCATATGTACCCATGCCACATTCTGGTATGAACAGCATCCTCAATGGCTGCGGATTGTGCGTGTCATTTTCGTGTGAAATACGTTAAGACCTGGAGTGTGTTTTTCCAAATTGGTTCCTTAGCTAAACACCCCTCTGGGGAGTGGGATGAATTTGTTAAAGTACTGGTGACATTAAATAGTAATTCCGTGGTTTGCAGGTGTTTTGACCTGTCTGAAGTTCTTTAGGAACAACTAGAAAAAAGTTGGATCATGTTTTTTAGGCACTATACCAGAAAATGCCCAACTTGGGCCAAAACCAAGAGAGGCTTCTCGTTTTAAAAAATGTTTCCCATTGTTATAAATGTTGTAGGTATTTAAGCCTAATACTTCATATCACCTTTTTTGGGACTGCAATTTTGGGAGTGTGTACCTTTGGAATAATACTGGAATAGTATCTCATCTTTATGTTTTATACTTAAGAAAAATCTTTTTCATATATGCTCTCAGTTTAATCTTCAGACATCTGATGCTTTACGTCTTCGTGAACTGGGAAAACTCAGGACCCCAAACTGATAGAACAGAAACTTTAAATTCAATAAAGAATCGAATTTAAGTTAGGTTCTAAAAATCTGAAGAATCTACAAATGGTTCTTGAAACAAGAGTTTTTCAGTAATAAATTTGTAAAATTATAAAATGTTGGCTAAGACAAAAAATATAGGCAATATAGAACTCAAAGCATTTGTAATAACTAGCCTTCGTTGAATACAAAATGTGATCCAAGAGTTATTGTACAGACTTTTTTTGTGTGTTTTAAAATTTTATTGGTACATTTTAAATACAACTAATGATGTCATTCACCTTAGAGAGTTTGTATGTGTACATGATATATCCTGCTTGTTTTCCCCCCATATTCCTTCCTTCCCTTCCTTAGTCCCTGTTCCCCTCCTTATTTACAAAAGCTTTTTCATTTTTTCCTTTTTCTAATAGTTCTTTAAATTTTTTTTTCAATTTTTATTTGAAAGGGGGTAAAATTAAACACAACAAAACAAAACAGGACATAAGAAAGCAATGTAAGAGATACAAATTTCAAAGCTAGACGACCTGAGATCTTCACTATCATACTGTCTCTTGTTTTCTTCCAAATAGTTGTCTGTGTCTTCACATACAGAGAATTCATCTCCGTTTCCTTTCTTCCTTCATCTCCCTTGCTTTCTTTCTCATTTGGACTTTTTTTTTTCCCATTTCAGAATATCTATTGTGCATCTTGGTCCTTGTGTACATTTTCAGTTTCTCACACCAGAAAAAACTGTGATATTTACACGTGTGTCCAATTTATTTCACTTAACAGTTTGCTCCCATCCATCAGCTAGAAATGTCTCAAGTTTATTCTTCTTTAAGCAGAGTAGTATTCCATTATATTAAAAACACTTTTAAGTTGGATGTGGTGGTGGGAGGCTGAGGCATGAGGATCACTACGAATTTGAGACCAGCCTGGGTTACGAAGTGAGCTCAAGACCAGCCTGAGCTATATAGTGAGACCCACTCTCAAAAAGACAAAAACAAACAAAACACACTTCCTTATTCATCAGATGATGGGCATTTGGGCTGTTTCCAAGAGTTAACTATTACAAACTGCTGCTATAAACATGGATATGCATATACTGTTGTGTTATGATGATTTTGATTCTTTCAGGATAATACAAAGACAGTATGGAACCTCTAGTCCTAGTTTTTTGAGGACTGACCACACAGATTTCCATAGTGGTTGTACCAGTTTACACTCCCAGCAACATTGGAGAAAGGTTCCTTTTTCCCCACAGCCCCACGAGCATTCATTATTGGTTGATTTGTTGATAATAACCCTTCTTTCTGGGGTGAGATGTAATCACAGCACTGTTTTAATTTGCATCTCTTGAATGACAGATATTGGACATTTGTTCATATATTTATTTGCTGTTTCCACTTATGTATCTGCAAAGTGACTATTCATTTCAGATGCTCATTTTTGGAGTGGTTCTTTAAATTGGGATGAGGGAGTCTGATTGTTTTGAGTTTTTAATATATTCTAAATAGTAGTCCTTTGGGATACAACTGGAAAATTATTTTTCCCACTATGGGTTGTCTCTTCACACTATTGGTGGATTCTTTTGCTATGAGACATCAGTTGTTGCCTCTGATATTTTTTGTGCAATGAGGATTTTGTTTATAAAATCTTTGCCTACTTTTCAGGAGTTCTATCTTGTCTATCCTCCAGCAGATTTAGTATTTCTGTGTCAATATTTAGATCTTCGTTTTTTCTAGTACCATTTATTAACGAGGCTATCTTTCTTCCATTGAAGGTGTTTGGCACCTTTGTCAAAGATAAGGTGACTTAGTATGTTTGAAGTTGTTTTTGCATCTTCTAATCTAATCATTGACCCTGAGGTCTGTCTCCCCTAGTACCATCCAGTTTTTATCGCAGGAGCTTTGTAGTGTAATTTGAAGTTGCCCCCTGCCTTGCCTGTGTTGCTCAGAATTGTCTTTGCAATTCTAGGTCTTTTCTGGTTCCAAATGAATTTTGGGATTGTTTTCTCTAATTCTGTGAGCTATGCTATTGGAATTTTGATTGGGATAGATTGTATTAAATCTGTATAACAATTTTGGAAGTATGATCATTTTCACTATGTTGGTTCTTCCTGACAAAGAGCAAGGAATATCTTGCTGATATCCTCTTTGATCTTTTTTCAGAGTACTATAGTTTTCAATGCAAAGCTTTTTAAAATGTCCTTTATTAGATTGATTCATAGGTGTTTCATTTTTTGGGGTGCTATTGTGAAAGGTGTTGTTTTCTGTAATTTTTCTCTCAATGAGTTTGTTGTTTATGTACAGGAATGCTATTGATTTTTGAGTGTTCACTTTGTATTCAGCTATGCTCCTGAATTTGGTTGTTAAATCCAGGAGTTGTTTGGTGGAATTTTTGGGATCATCTACATAGAATATTATGTCATCTGCAAATAATGATAATTTAAGTTTCTTCCTTTTCTATCCTTATTCTTATTTCTTTCTCTTGTCAAATTGCTCTGGCTGATGTTTCCAGAACTATACTGAATGAGAATGGTGATAATGAACATCCTTGTCTTGTTCCTGATTTTAGGGTGAAAGTTTTTACTTTTTTTTTTTGTCCATTAAGTATGATGTTGGTTGTTGATTTGTCATAGATGGCTTTTATCAGACTGAGATAAAGACCAACTATTCCAATTTTCTGTAGGATTTTTGTCATGAATAGGTGTTTGTGCACAGGACTTCAAAACAAGATAATAGTAAATCCAAAATAGCTACCATAATATATATTGTTATCTATGAAATAGCTGTGGTCTGCAAAGGACACTAACAGGGAGGGCTGGTATCTGTTTTCCCCATGGCCCACGCATGGCGCCCAACTATCTCTTGATAGTCCCTTTCTGTATGGCATTGTGATGGCCTGTGGCATCCTCCACCTTATGGGGAGAGCATAAACTATCAGCCAATCTCTATCAAATTTATACTGAACACAAATTTATACTATACACAGATATGCACTTTACCTAGAATGTAGATATTAAAGCCATTTCTGTATTCATATTGTTGGGTGATCAACTAACTCTTCAGTTTGATTTTAAAATTTCCAGAAAGTGGTTTTATTTTAACTTTTCCTCCCAATGTTACAGCAGCAGAGGTGCTAGGTAAGAAGTGAGTGACATGCCTGGCATGGTGGCACACACCTATAATCTCAGCACTTGGGAGCCTGAATTAAGAGGATTGCTGTGAATTTGAGGTTAGCCTGAAGCCTTGTCTCAAAAAGACAAAAAAGAAAAAAGTAAGGTAAATGAGGTGAGGCAAGGACAGGAATGTCTGGAGCTCCCTCTCTTTGGCTAGCAATTATGACAGTTAGGTGCTGTGGCTTAATGGCTCAAGTTTAAGTTGTTCATTTTGTTATTTTGCTTTACTTTGTTTCAGATTTTATCCCTGCAATGTAAGCATAGAATTTAAATTTTATCTTGGTGTGGTAGCATGCAATGTAATCCCAGCACTTGGGAGGCTGAGACAGGAATATTTCAATTTAAAAAAATTTTCATTTTAAAGAGGGTAAAATTGAACAGAACAAAACAGATCATAAGAAAACAATATAAGAGACACAGATTTCAAAACAAGACAACTGGAGATCTTCACTATCATAGTCTCTTATTTTATTTCAAATAGTTGTTTATATCTTCACGTAGAGTGAATTCGTACAAAACAAAATAATATAAAACTGATCAGAACAGGATGATGAAGGCATTTTAGGTCTTCAAGACCAGACAAAAAGGAAGTCAACAATGGCTGCTATCGTGTCTCTCATTTTC